GTATATATATCTAAGCGGAATGCTTCACGATTTCAACATAGTTTTACAGAATTAAAGTCAGCCAATATGACGAATATGGTCATAAAAAAATTTCAAAAAATCGTATGTTCATCAAGTTTGAATTGTGCAAAAACATATGATTCATCGCATTAAATGAAAAAGATTTTGACACATCCATTTCAAGTGTAGGTGTCACTCGAGCACTGACTCAATTGGCTGTTGCATGTAAACGGCTGTGGTGCATACTGGCCGCCAATACGCGTAACCAAGCTTTCAATGCCTGTTGATTATTCGAAAAGATGTTCACCCGTGGTGGTACACACACGATGGTTTTGATGAAGCGCGTTGATATTTCTGAATGGTGCAGCAAGCTCTCCATTTAGTGCGAATGGCAATGCCTCGCTCGAACGAACATTATGAAATCCTTTGCGACAGGGAACATGCGTAACAATGTCGGATGACATTACATATCACCATTCTCGAAATGTTTTTTGTGAACTAAAGAAGGAACCGTAAAATTTGCATTGGGGATATTTTGGTTGTTATTCACCAGGTCAGAATGCAACATCGTATGTTTGCGAAGTTGGAAGTGAACAAATCGAAGAATGATTGAGGATGATTATGCAAAATCTCAAATTAACGGAGGCAATTGACGTATATGTCACAAGTGAATGGGTTATCAGATAAAACCACTTCAAATATAATCCAAACCGCTGTGTTTCTATGACTTACAGATTAGGAGTTATTCAAAAGTAGAATATGATTTTAAAGAAAACCTCTGTTTGTCCAACTCTGAATCGCTCAAGTAAAATACAAACGCTTTAGATTTGACCTTGCGGTGAACTCTATTTTTCTTAGAGTGGTGTGCATTGGCATAATCGTTTTGATTGATGTGACGTACAATGTAATGAATGCCGCGCTTATTCGTCCGATATATTCATATTTGTTATGTTTAAGGATTATTTGCTTGCAGTTGCTTCAATTACCTTTGATTTTTAGCTTATATTCGCACAATCGTTGAAGAGGAACGCTTTTTAATCATGCCGTTTGATACCCAGTAAATCTACAAATATGAAAACTGGATGCTCTCCGGTGCGGAGATCATGTTCGGCGAAGCGTGCCAGCAAAAGCAGGATAGACTTGTATTAAGTTCACCGCAACATGCAACTGACTGGTTAGAAGCAGATGGATGAGAGACAATCCATGTATCGCGCCCAGTGTCATTATAGTCGGGAAGTGCAGGGGTATTTTACTTCCATGATTACTACTTGCGTTGTTCATTCAAAGGAAGAAACACGGGATTTCTGTCACTGTGATGGTTCACTGTTGATGCAGATGGCGGAGTTACTTAGAAATCTCTAACGCCTTTAGAATACTCAGATGCTATAATGAAATTGAAAAAAGCTTTTGCATAAACTCATATTCCATCAAAAGCAAATATATTTGCATGTGTCCACCCTCAATGCCGAGTTTCCATTTGATATTCATACGGCCTCGTGATTATCGAATCACGGGTTCTCAAAATAGGATTCGTTATCGTACGTGGACGCTTCGCTGAACGACGGGACGTCTTATTGGTCTTTGCAGAGCCCAGCTGCATACTATGAGTAATCGCAGTAAAATCCATGAAAATTCAAAGCTTGACGAACAAAGCTAAAGTCATCCTTTTTTCTGAGAAATTTAGCACGGTAATTTGTACTTCTTCGCGGAATCTCCAGTGCTACATTTTGTGGATTCGTCTGAAATTTGTTGGACTGCAGCTGTTTGTTTGCATATTAGGATGATACAACTGACAGTTAAGAACTCGAAAACGTCTTTGATTATATTCTTATATGTTTGGTATTTGTAACACAACCAGGGATTCGAATTTCCCTCTCTCGTCAGGTTAAATTTGAAATGAAATGTGTTCACGAGGTTCAGGTAACTATTGATCTAGCAATTATTCGGTCGAGCTAATATTGACGCTTCCACTGTCGAACTGAGCGGTGTATTACAGAGTAGCGGAGAAAAGTTGCCGGCGCTGAGGTTCGGACAAATGTACGCGCAGTCAATTTGGAGCACACAAACTGCGATGGATATAGTGCCGAACCTCCGAAATTAGAGCTGATTACGTCGAACAAAACCTTGGATAAGATTGAGGCCGGAGGTTCCTGATGTACCTGTCACTGGTGACAAAAAAGCATGTCAAATTCGATATCTGTCATACATGGTTGTTGCATAATTGATCCAACAACCAGACGACCGACGTCACCAAGTACTCGATTCCGGTTTCCTAACCAGAGATTAGGCACTTTGCTTGATTAGGCCGCACTGAGTTATAGGCTTGCTAGCACAATCCCACTGAGGCTTACTATTACCTGATTTGATTTAAAAAATGCCATTAGTCCCATCTTACTCTAAGCGCTTGCTAGACCCTGATTCCTCATCATGCTTCCTTCATTGTGTCCAGAGAAGCGCCTTGCAGGCAAAATGCACAACAGTCAACCTCATCACTCTTCAAGGCCGGTCGATAGATTGTCCCAGTTAACCTCAGCCTGCTCAGTTGTACTAACCGACATTTCCTTTCCTACCACACTTGGTAGCTGTCTATCCTCCTCTTCACCAAATAATCTCAGCTCCACACTGACCTCTCAAATCTCAGTGCTCGTGTGCATAAGATGGAGAGCGAACTAATATCCTATCGTATCATGCAACCACTTGCCTGCCTTCTGACTCCTGATGCAATGTGTGATCCATCAGATCTTGCAAAAGCGTCAGTCTCTATTGACATATTCGCCTCGGAGATTAGTCGGCGTATGGAATGCCACAAACAGGTCTTACTATATAATATTCCCGACCGCATTCCAATAGAACTCACAAGAGCCGTACCACTAAATGCTCCCGATATGATTCAGTCGCAGACTACTCGTGCAATCAACCCTGGGAAAGCTGCGCGAGTCATATCACTGATGACACATGTGTGCACATAGCTGTCGGAGAACACCCGATTCAACTGGTCCGGCCTCTTTTACAACCCCTCCAGTTCCGTTTGACACTCCACGTATCCTACATCAGAGTAGCCTGTTCTAAACCGGTGGGAATTGCAGCCGCCCCTCCAAATGCTGAAGCTGATGTCTTAGCCTCTAAAGCTCGATGCTGGAGCACAGATCCCCTCCCTTATCCAAATTATCCTGGAATCGCTCCTCGCCCATACCCGCCATACCGTGTTGTCAACTTGCGGTTTGATGCCACACAAACCCTCATAACGGCCACCAGCCCTGCATCTCATGCTCATGACCATGAGCCCTCCACATCTACCCTTGGACACCTGCCTGTGCCTCCTCTGACCTCAGTTGCACCAAAAAAAAACACCGCCGTGATGACGGATGCAGTAACTTACCAGCCCTTACCCGGCGCTACAATCGAAGATCAGAACACAGTCTCCCGCTCCAGACCCCCTGATCTAATGGCACTTCGCCCCTTCCCACCAAAGCGCGCTCTCGGACTCAAACACTACTATCAAAGACTGGTATTGTAACGCCCCCGCTCGTGCAAAATCCACGAATTCTCACTCTTCACCCTTCCTCTACAAACCTAGGCATACCTCGCATGGTACTTTAATACACCTGCTGCCGCCCACCCCTTGTCCTTGACAGAAGCTCCAACCTGCAAACACCGTTACTTAACTTCATCTTTATCAAGCTCTGCCCCTCTGGCCACCCGCACGCTAACTACCTGAGATTCTTATTCGGAGGCTACCTCCTCCGCCTCCTCCAAAGACACGCGTAGCCCCACATTTGCAACCTTTAGAAACACATCAAGCTATACACACCACGTGCCTGGAAAAAACTCGTGTTCACAACAACCCGTGACCAGCTCCGACCCTCATCCGTTTCCACCACCCAAGCCACCAAATTTCGTCCCGCCTGAACACCATTTTCGGCACCCACCCATCTCTCCGGAGCCTCCACTCTTTTTTGCATCCTATCCACCTCCATACCTGCCGATTCAGAAGATAACACGGCCGACAACTCTACGTTCAACTGCATGTACTCCTCCCAAAGTCATTCCGTATCTTACACTGAGCTTGATACAGTACCTCCTACCGTGCGTTCGGACATTTTTCAACGACGATTTACGCGTCTACCACCAGTACTGAATACTGCCTCCCAGATTCCAACCCCCGTTTCATATTACCCACCTCAAGGCAACTAGTCCCTTCAGTACTAAATCCCACCGTGAGTGAGGCTACCAAGTTCCTAATTAGTACCGTTTGCTCGCCAATGAGCTTGTCAATAATGTTGTTCAGTGCCCGCTCATTACTGCACAAAATCCATAATCTCCAAGCAACTGAAGCCATCGCACGACCAAGTATAGTCTGTGTGACTGAAACATGGCTCACAGATGAAACACCGGACACGGCGATCTCAATCCCGCTCCCATAGGAAAAAACTCAAGGGGTAGTGGCTGTGTCATCTATTCCAAGTCAGGACTTCGTTCAACCCCATTTGATGATTCTTCTCTGGAAGGTATTTCAGAGAACAGACCAAACGACCTGTATTAGTAGGTTGTATCTATTTACCACCCGCCACCTCCCCCGCCTCTATTGCTGATCTTTCCCGTATTATCTCCACTGAATAAGCTCCTTCTCATCCGTCTAAATTTCTGTTGTGTGACTTCAACCTGTCGGACATTTCCTGATCCTCCCCCACGGGCCCCGCCCGTTACACCGCGCTGCTTGCACAACTTGGTGTGGAGGGTTGGTCTCAATTTGGACGTAGTTCTGCTCGTGGCCTGCGTATTCTGGACCTAATACTCTTCAACGATGACCATTTGGCTACAGCTGCAGTTGGTTCACGCTTTCCAGGAAGTGACCACAGCGTCATTTCTTGCAACGTAGTCACTTATGGCCAAACTGTTTTTCTGAGTCCATTCACGTTTCATCTCCTCTCACTGGATATTTCACAAGCTTTTTCGTCCACACTGGCTTCCCGGGATTAAAACGACTTCTTCCTGTCGAGAAATACACACCGCGTCAGTGACATCTTTCACCAAAGCCTCTTGATTGCTTTTCACCTTGTTTCTCCTGTAAAGCGTTTTCACGCCAATATCTCCAGCCACGATAGGTTATTAAAAACCTTGGATGCAAAAATACACCAGGCTAGCAGTGAATATCGGAAACCTCAGGATTTCTCATTACTAATTCTCATCAACAAACTCTCTACTAACCGAGAACGCCGAGAAGAGAACACCGTCCTCAGAGCTCCTTTCCATTCCAAATTACGCAGCCGACTGTTCCGTAGACGTTGCACCCTAAACAGCCATCCAATTGCTTGTTTGCGTTTCACAGATATTGGCCCTATCACTGATCCTGTCAACATAGCAGACCATCTGAATGCGTACTTCGCCATCTGCTACTTACCCTTTCCTCCCAACTCTAAACCCATACCCATTGCTGTTTATCTCCAAAGTGTGAACGGTCAGGGTAACCACATGAATGTCAGTAACGTAACCATTTCCCTAGCTGAAGTTTCTTCTCTTCTTCTACAGATTAAGGACACCGTTGTGCCACGGGCCGACGGCCTTCCACTCCGTACTATGAAACAAGGCGGCCGAGATATTGGAATCCTTCTACTAAAACTTTTCACTCACTCTATAAACTATGCATTCGTCCCCTCCCAGTGAGAAAAATCTATAATCCAACCGCATTTCAAATCCGGATCTAGACAAACTCCTTCCAACCACAGGAGAATCCACCATAACTCCCTCCTAATGAGAACCCTTGAACGTATGGTCAAAGCCCATTAACCAAGTTCCTACTGACAACTAATGCCACAGATGACCAGCAGAATGGTTTCGTGTCTCGGAGATTCATTCTTGGCTGCCAGCTTCACTTTTTCGAGACCATCACAGCAACCTATGACGCTGGATACTCCACTGCGACAGTTTATCTGGATATTCAAAAAGCCTTTGATCAGGTCCCCCATGCATCCCTACTGCACAAACTTAGTACTGTTGGCATCATTGGAACCTTATTTCAGTGGTTCGCCTTTTACCTATCTGACGGGACTCAAGTAGCACAAATTGGGGACATACAATCATCTTCACCATCGATCACCAGTGCAGTCATCCAAGGAAGCGTGGTAGGCCCCATCATCTTCTTACTGTACACCAACGGCGTTGTCTGTGCCATATCCCATGGTAAAGTCTTCCTCTTTGCCGAAGATATAGAAATTGCGTACACATTTCCTCAATCTGCACGAGCCCTTACGTTTCACTAGATGAAGCAAGACTTAGACTCGCTGACTCGCTGGTCAAACGACTCAGGCCCAAGCTTCTCCTCCACAAAATCCTGCATAACTTGCGGCTGATGCTTTCACAGTAAATGTAAATCCTATCACTCATTCCACGGATATCAAAGATCTTGGCCTCAGATACTGCTTTACGTTTAACTTTTCACGCCAGGTTCAGTACCAGGTTGCCAGAGCATACAGACTCAGTTTTTTTAATACTGCGCTCCTTTCACCTTCCAGACACAGTAGTTGTAATAATAATAGGTTTGTTTTCCAACTTGTAGGGAACATGCCAATTGAGGTACGATCGGCTCGTTGTAACCGGAACGCGGCTGGTAACAAACCCAACGGGGAAGATAGTGAAGCCAACAAGACAAGCCTATTAGGCAAAAATTTGCCGCAGTTGTGGAAACCAAAAACTAGAGCAATGGGGAATGAGGAGCAGTCTGATGTCCAGGCGAAGTCTGCATTCAAATTTCAGTTCCCTCCGAAACCCTGGGTATAGTTGGCTAGTTTTTCCAAATTCCCAAATCCGACTTCGCTCTTTCAGTTGTGGTGCGTTTTTGCACAGGTTCTAGGGTACACACGGGCTCCGTCGCTACAGTACTTGTTCTTTATAAAGAAAACGGTTTCCAACCTATGGATATCATCAATTTAACGTTTCTTCCAAATAAGAGACACTTTTAGGGTGGATCGTTTGGTGAGTGACCAATGTGCCAGCCAAAACACCCTCCTTCACTGAGTAATACTCAGAAATAAACAAGACAGTTCCCGTTGGGAAATTTGGGGAGATCATGAGCGAATGTGCAATTTCACGATAGCCTACCAGTGAGATGAATTGGAGGGGTGAGATGGCTCAAGTTGTAGCAGCGCGGATTTACTTACCGGAAGGTCCGTTGTTGGAACCCGACCCCTGCTTCTCGACCTCTCCTGTATAGATTTGGTCAACCTGGCAGCAGCCCAGCCCTCGTGCTTCCTTCATGTAGCATGGCTGCTAGGCACCGGAAGGGTGTCTACCAGCTGAACGATTTTTTTAGATGTGTGAGACGTACCAGCACACCGTACATTCTGCAGACATGGGAAATTTAGTAAATAACGGCACAGCCTTCGCTGTCGTGCATCTTATCTCCACCAAAATACCACGCACAATTCGATCCAGATGGGTAGTTGCCTCTCACCGATCGAATTTATTTTCTCGTTTTGTTATGTCACCTTGACCCATATAGACAGACGATACACATGTGCTTCACCGATCACCAACTTTGCGCCCGTGGTGGCTGTTAGATAGATAGCCTGTATCACAATTTCATAATACGTCAAGTGATTTCAATTCGATCGTGTTATCTTAATTCATTTTTGTTTACGATGACATTCACATTTGTAAGAATCAGCTGAGGATTAATTCACAAAGAATTCTTCGCGCGGATGGCGCTTGCGAGAATTTCACATTTATATCGTATCACAAAATAGTGGATTTTGAGTCCAAGTTTTCTGAGTACGATGGTTTATGCGAGCAGTCAGATCTGTCGGGGGCTAGACGAGAAGGTCTACCGAGAATTTGTTCCGAACCAGCGGAGAATTATTACGGCACCAGACTAGGCACCTAGCTTCCGAAATTTCTAGAGGTTGCAGTCGATTTGTTGCAGATCGCTAATCACATAGTCGTAATCAGGCTCGTATTAAGACGGTATACCCATGATGCATCAAAACAATCAGGATTTCGCATTTTTTCGGAGAGTAATCATGTGTTACCACGTATTAATTGTTCTGAATTTAAGAAAGTCTGCGAATGTGTGAATTTAGTGCACTGAAAAGAACCTATCACAATTTATCAATCCTCCTCCGTTAAGTTTGCTGCAACCTGACTTAAACTACCGACAACACGTTCATCTATTCCTGGTTTCCGTCGTTAACTTCTGTGATTTCTTATGGAATTGCTCTGAATTTATTCTGAACCACACCTCTGAATGAGCAACACATTGGTTGAGTTTCAGCTATCCTCACAGCTTAGTTGCCTTCTAATTCCATGTTAATGAATAAGTGCCTGGAACTCCCCCCCCCCCCGATCGAAGAAGGCCTCACAGGCACTGGGTTTAGGTTGTTCTCTCTAATCAACAGGATTTGAAATCGCAGCACGGGGAGTTCACCCAAACTGCTTGCCTATCAGTGCCGCGCACCCGTCTTGCTGTCTCTCCTGTCTCTCTCAGGGCATCGGCCAGCCCCGTACCTAGTGGAATTGACCGAGAGGTGGACACTACATGACCTGGCAACAAAGTATAAAAACACTAACCAGTAAGGTAAGTCGGGTCGCAAACTGCCGCCCCCTGGATGGGGACCCAGCCACTGAGCTCACCAATAGTTAATGACACTGGCAGAAATGGTCCAATCGTGCAGTTAGTGGTGCCCGTGCAGCAACGCTATCGCCGTCAATGCGTGGTTACCCGGCTCCCAAACTTACCGAACATGCCATCGCCTCCAATGCTAGGCTATTTTTCCCACCCTCTCCCAATTTCCGGTGATCGAAACTGCATCAGCAGGGATC